GTATTATTTTTGAACTCTGCACCAAATTATTGAAATTTCAACCCTTTCTTTATATAAAAATCAAAAAATTATAATATGTACCTTTAGCTATGTTATGACATATATATCAAACTTGGCTGGTTTAGAAACAAATTTTTCTAGTTTAATGCGTAAATTTTTGTTTATATTTCAAAGCAGTCACGTGACAGTAAATACTTCACGCAAAAAAAAAAAAAAGTATTTTGGGATTTTTTTATTTCGTTTATTGCAGTGCCTGTATCAGTGTAATGCATTCGGTGTAAATAATATTAATATGCTTTATAATTAGTCTAGCTACGTTTATATTACGTATTAGGTGTCCATATTCTTTTTACAGAACGTATTTATCTTTAATATTTCAAAAGTTATGAAAGTTTTAGTAACAACTTTCAAAAAATAACAAGAAGCCGTATGTCCACTCTGAAACAGCCGTGATATACGCGTAGCTGCTATATAGTCTATATATTATATTGCTCTATATTATAGAGCAAGAAGCTCTATATTATAGAGCAAGAAGCCGTATGTCCACTCTGAAACAGCCGTGATATACGCGTAGCTGCTATATAGTCTATATATTATATTGCTCTATATTATAGAGCAGTATATATATAGCCTATATTATTATTATATATATAGCCAATATATTAGCTATATTTAGTAATATATGGACTATATCTACATAGACTACATATTGGTTATTCTTTTTTATTGGATTACAAAGTATGTAGTCTGTATTGCTATATTATAGCTATATAGATTACATATCTCTTGTTCTTGTTAATAATTAATAAAAGCAAGAGATATGTAATTTATATAGTTATAATACAGCAATACAGACTACATATCTTGTAATCCAATTAATCCGTTATTCTAATTAGTTTAATTAGAATAACGTATATGTAGTCTAGGCAGAATATAAATGTATATATTCTAAGCAGACAACATAATATGTAGTACATATAGCTTACAGTCTACAGTCCATGAAGGAAGAACATTTTCTTACATAGAATACAAATAGTGCATATAGGTTATTCTTATTAATAAGAATATGAGATATGTAGTCTATATAGCTATATATTGTTATATATAGCAGCGACATGTCTTACAGAATACAGTTCACAAAGGAAGAATATATTCTTATGAAGACTATCTAATGTATAACTATTTTTATTAGTAAATAAGAAGAATAGCTATATGTAGTTACATAAGAATAGATTCAATGTGTATTGAAATATATTCAAGAATATATTTCAATGTGCACTGTATACTGTAAAAATACAGTCTACATTGAATTGCAGCTATTTGTAAAAATATATTCTTACATTTCTAATTTTCTACTACTTAAGTTTTACAGTTTTTAGTTTTTTGTTAAGATAACTGTTGTGTGATGCAAGTAACATATTTGAATCTAATTGTTTTTGTCACGAAAAGCTGGAAACCTTTATTTAGAAAATGCGAATGAATTGTGTTCAGATATTACATTTCCTCTTCAATACAATTTATCTGAGTCTGAAGGTGTTTCTTCACAAACAAATAATGCTAATGATGCTGATTTTGAAAATGATTATGGTCTGTGTTCAAATTTAGTTTATGAAAATAGGTCAATCAGTTCCATATTAGATGATGAATATCAATTAGGCAAAAAACTTTGAAGAGATATAAACTCTTTGGCTTTAAAACACTTTTTGACAAGACAATGTATTATGATTTGATCAGAATTTTTATCAAAAAAGGTTGTTTCTTGTCAAAAGATTGCCGTACATTATCAGGCACAAAAAAATCAAATATTATTCAATTGCAAAATGATGGAGAATATATTTATTTTGGCATAAAAAGCAATCTAGAAAGACTCTTAACTTTTTATAGTCATAATTCAGAAAAAATAAATCTGAAAATAAATATTGATGGGATCCCATTATGGAAATCAAGTTCCTATCAACTTTTGCCAATTTTGGTCCAGTTTGGAGTTTTTCATCCTAAAGTCGGAGTTTTTGATGGTAACAAAAAATCAAATGTTAAAGTTATTCTGTTTGATTTCATAAAAGAGTTAAAAGAACTAGTTGCTAAACCTATTCAAATAAATGGCAATCACTATGAGATATCTATATTTTGTTTTACATGTGATGCACCTTCTAGATCTATGTTAAAAGGTATAGTACAACACACAGGGTATTTTTCATGTGAGAGATGTACCATAAAAGATTCAAAAAAAAATCGTCGAATTGTATTTAATGACCAAGATGATAGTCGTTTCACGTACCAATATGTTGTTTCAGGATAACAAATATTGTGAGCCTGACAACAAAAGTAAGCGTCATCAGTTAAATCAGTCACCTCTTGTTGAACTGCCATTTAATATTATAAATGATTTTTCACCTGATTACATGCACTTGGTTTGTCTTGGAGTTATGAGACGAATTTTATATTTTTATAAAGGTACATTTAAAGGCGTTTTTGAAGGGCATCTATCTTCTGTACAGCCAAATGTTTTGTCTCACTGTTTAGTTGCTTTGAATGGCAAAATGCCAACTGACTTTGTTCGTCAACCAAGATCTCTTTCAGAATTGGACAGGTGGAAAGTAACTGAGTTAAGAAGTTTCCTTCTTTATACTGGGATAGTTGTTTTAAAAGGTATTCTCAGCAAAGAATGTTTTAAACATTTTTTTAAGTTTATCTCTGGCCATTAGAATGTTGTGTGAAAAGAGTGTCAACTGTCTTGATGATTTGTCTCTAGCTAAAGAACTAATTTATTATTTTGTAAATAATGCAAAACAACATTATGGTAATACTTTTGTTGTGTATAATGTACATTCATTATTACACATCACTGACGATGTTGAGCATTTTAGCTCCAACCTACATGATGTGTCTGCATTCCGGTTTGAAAATTTTTTACAAAGGTCGAAGCGTCTTGTACGTGGTAAGCATAACCCAGTTTCCCAGATTGCAAATAGGCTTAGTGAGTTTAAATATGTATCTTATTTAGAAGAGAATTTTGCATCAAAGATCAATGTAGGATTTAAGGATTCCTGCTTTTTGGTTAACAATGGTGTTGTATATATTACTGAAAAAAGATCTGATGGAAGTTACAGATGCCAGTTTTGTAATGATTTACATCTGGAATCCTTTTTCCATTGTTTTATTGATTCAAAAGAAAATAAATTTTTTTAAACATAAATTAAACATTTATGTTTAAAAAAATGCCCTATTTATTTATTGCAGAAAACAGAAATCAGACTTGATTAGAAAATGTGTGAGTTTACCATGCAAGAGTGGTTACATTGTAATTCCTCTTCTAGAAGATCTTTAAATTAGTTTAAAAAGCTAAATGAAACTTTTTTAGCAGCTAAATTGTAATCTTAGTCAAGATTATTTTATCTCTATTTTCTGAAAAATTTAAATAAATAAAAGAATAAAAGAGTCAACAATTTAATTATTAAATAATGTTAAAAACAAAATTTTATTAGATAAACATTTATATCTCTTTTTTTTTAAGTGGATATATACTGCTTATGCATCTGTCATCATTGTTTATAAGATTATTTTTCCATTGATTTTATCAAACTTAAAATCAAACAATAATTTTAATATTTCTTTTATAATAATTATGAAAAAATTCTTCTGGAACTGCCAAGCAAGTTAAAATTCATAGCTATATATTTATAGTATTTATATAATTTAGGAATAATAAATATACCACTAAATTATTAATAATTGATAACAAATACTTCTTGATAGCTTCAAAAAAGTTATCATGAAGTCAGTGGTGTATCTTCATGGTTGTTGGCACTGTGCAACTCCTTCTCTCTAAGGGTGACTAAAATTTAGAATAAACTGCCTCTTGGTAGCCCACCAGACACTTTTTTACCTACAAAAGAGAGTTTATTAATCAAACTTTATTTTGAACTATGAAGATTTTATTCCCTGTGATTATTTAAAAGAAACCTTTATAAAAAGCATTCAAAGTACTTTTACAGTAGGTTTAGTAGTTTTAGCCTAGGTTTAAAAATAATGGTGCATTATATAATTTTGCTAAATGTTATAAAAAGAAGTCAGCTTGAATTAAATTAGAAATGCACACGATTTTAAATGTTTCAAAGTGTGACAATACACTTTTTCAAACGTTTTTAAAATTACCGAACTACTGATTATCATAGTGGGCGACTCAAGTAAGATAAAAAATATGATTCAGTCGCCCACAGGGCAACTGGGAAATAACACAAGTTTACACCACTGGAAGTTATCTCATTTTTGTTAATAACAAAACTGTTTAATGTGAATATATTACTTATTCTTTTATATTTGTTTAACTTGATGATAGTATATTTTTCTCTTTTTTTTTATATGAAACAATAGTAAGCATGTTTTTGACTATTTACAAATGTTGTTGTTTTATTTACCGAAATAATTTTTTGTTAGCTTTGGTCAGCTATGGTTATTGAAAACAAGCAAGAAGTCAAAACTGTTGCGCTGCGTTCATGAGTGGAATTAAAAAATATGATTTTGTACTGGCCACCAAATCACAAAGTGTTAAGTTTTTATATTTCTCGATGGTCTGCTTCTGAGAAAAACTGGAAAAAGTTTGTTATAGTAAAAGTTTTATTGGAGTCCGGGCTAAAATCAGTGGCACAAGATATGATAAGTTTTCTTTCAACTACAGAGAATGAAACAGAAGTTGACTCTAAAGAAAGTGACTCAGAAATTGATAAGAAAAGTGGTTTGTTTATTTATTTAATTAAAAATTAGTATGATTTTTATGTTTCTAAGTTTACTAATTAACTATGTTCTATATTGCATTAAAATTTTTGAAATGTTGGTCAAAAAAAAAATTACTGCCCTGCACTATCAGACATGTAAAAATATATTATTATTTGTTTTTTTATAAAATTTTATAAAATGCCTACTTGTCTGTTTTTTTTATAAATTTTCTTAATAAAAATTTAGGTATTTTTTAATTTTAATTTTTATTATCATGGTTATAACCCTGTTTTAACTTTTTAATTCCAAAATGAACTAAGACCAGAAAAATATACAATATTATTCATGTTGTTCCAAGAGCATTTTGTTTTTAATTTTGTTAACAAAATAAAATATAACTTATTGCATTTTACTTTGTTCATTTTCATAATGCTGTATGAAGATAAATATGTTGCAAGTCCTGTTCTAAAACGCAAGCACTCAATGCCTCTAATACAAGAAAAATGTACCTTTATTTCCACAACTGAAAACCTCCTCCATAACCTCATTTTTAATAAGAGTCTTACAACCAATTCTAAAAAGTTGTTTTCAATATGTCCATCACCGACAAGAGTGTCTTTTTCGATAAATCCAATAACATCAACAAAAAATACCTGTAGGAAATTTAAAACATACACTGATGGTGGAAACTCTTTTAAGGAGATGTCCACTAAACATAATAATTTTATTATATATTAATATTAATTTATTATATATATTAATTAATAATAATTTTTTGATTGTTTTATTTAATGTTTGTTTACCTTGTTGCTAATAGACATGACGTTGAATAGACAAACTAAATGTTGTCTACGGTCTGGGGTTTAGATGATATTAAAAAAATATAATAAACACTGAGAAAGTAAATTCAGTTGATTAATATTTCAATGTCTTGCAGCTACATCCTCTAAACAATTTTCCTGCAATTTCTGCTACCCTATAAAAAACTTGGTGGCCCCAATTATAGATTTGATGGCCCTCTGGATTTTATCTACCTTATAATAATGCCTTTGATCATGGTATGCTCAAAGACATCATTAACCTAATACTTTAGTTCTTTTAATCATGGAACTGAAGTATAAGGTTATTTTTTTAATGTTTATTTCCATATAAAATTTCAATACACTTTGCTTATGCGGCTAGCAAAGTTAGAAGAAAATCAAAAAGACATTTCTGAAATACTTGGATTGCTTCAAGATAATGATATGGTGGCCAATAATAGTTCAGACAGTTTAGAAGTGCCTCAAAGCATTGAAGAATTTGAGGCAGAGGAGAGTAAACTCAAAGTCAATGTATATCTTCAAAAGAAGGTTATTTTAAACATTTACATACAGTTACAGTTATTTTTTAAATACTTGCAGATTTATAAATTTTTATACTAGTTCATTTAATAGTTTAAAATTAAGATAAATATAAGATTCACAAATTATTTTAAGTATCAAGCTTAAATGAAATATTTTCAAAAAATAAACTTTATTATGTACGAATAGCTTCAAAAACAAGAGAAATTTTTTTTTAAATTTTTGATTTAATATATTGATTTAATTTTTGTATTGTTTTAAAAAAACCAGATAAAAGAAATTGTCGGAAAAGACGCAAGAACAGCAGTTTAGGCTTGCTCTTGATGCATTAATGTTACGAGAAATACAAGATAGCTTTAGTCTGTATGAAGTGTTATTTAGTATGTATTGAAGAACAAGCAGTCTTTTTCAAAGACACTTCACTATTTGTGTTTAACAGGTATGTGAATGTAATAGTTAAAAATAGTTGGTTAAATTATTTTTGAGCATAAATTATGCTACCAGTATTTTAAGGTTCAGGCCAGTTTTTCCATTATGCTTCTACTTAAAGAAATATTATCAGTCAACATAGCGCAATATAATTGTCAGCGATATACAAAAGGCGTGCTTAATCACTTTAAAAGCCATTTAAATTCAGTTTTTTGCACCTTTAGAAAGCTATATATATTTTTATTGACATAATACGCAAACTAATGTTTGTATTCAGATCTGTGGTTTAGTAGCTTCGTCGTTTCTCTTTTTCTTGTGACTATTTTTTTGAATATTTTGTGTTGTAGGTGCTCTACTTAATAGCAGCAAGGAAGATTATCGTAAAGATCGGTTAGATTATCACATTGGTGATATTTTGAAACGAGCCATTCGAAACAAAGCAATTAGAAGTCCAAAACCTGTTGATACATAATAGATAAATGAGCCTTCTCATATAAAACTCATTCGTTCTTTGTGGCTTCGTATCAGACAAGCAAGATTATATATGATTACTTTGTTTTTTGATTTTGTAAATACATTTTTCAAATTCATAACCCGCTTTTTAATTTTTCTTATACTAGCGTATGTATACACAACCAACATAATCTAAAACAATTATTTATAAGAATGAATGTTTTGTATAAATGCAGTATTATATATTATTATATAATATTTAGCATTGTAAGGTTATATATAATTATAATATTTAATACTGGATGATAATATATAATACTTTTACACAAGTAGCACTTATAACTCATTAAGTCTTTTAACTGAAAAGATTTGGGTTATAACTCATGTAAGTCTTACCTTTTATGCATAATCTGATGAAACACCCGCTGTTATTTCAACTTTAATGGGCAAAATGGATAAAGTAAATGATCTTTCTTGACTCATCGTGTTTCTTAAGTTGGTCTTAATCAATTCTTAAGAAATTTTATCATACTGGAACTCACAGCTTAGTTTGATTTCTCTGTTTCAGTCTTTCTTTTTCTTTTCGATGCACCAGATTCCCATGTTCTTCCTACATCTCTGTCTCTCGTTGGTTTTCCAGACATGAGTTTGAACTTATGTTTGGACCAGTGAAAAAAATTATAGTTAGGTACTTGCATGAATTTTTAAGTTTTCATTTTAATTATTTTTTTAATGGTATTAACTTTAGGTCATAAAAGAAGCAGGACATTTTTAATTAACTTTTTAAACTTGCGTGTAATTAATTAAAGATATAGATCAAGTCAGCATATCTTAAAATAGTCCACCTTGTACCAGAGCGCGCGTAAGTGAATCACTTTTTTGTTTAAAAAAGTGTTGCTTATTTTGCGGCAATGAAGCGAACGAGGAGTCTGAGAAGAAAAAAGCGATGAAAGTTCGGCGTAAAATTCACAAAGTTGCTACTCTTGAATTTAAAGAATCAATTCTGAAGGTAGCATGGAGTCGTTCTGATGAGGAAGCAAAAAAGGTCACTGTACGCATTGAATATGAGTTTGATTTAGTTGCTACTGAGGCTAAATACCATAGTACTTGTTATAATTCTTTCTTGAGACTAACCAGTGAAAAATCGGTCGTTCTCAAGATGAATCTACGAATGTTGCGATGGAAGAAACACATAAATACATTGAAAACTGCGATGATTGCTAGTTTTCATTTTATTAGAAGAATTAAAAAATATTTGCAAAAATCCACATTTAGATAACAGAACAATTAAGACACGATTAAAGTTGAAGTTTTTTGAGTATGAGTTAGCCCCCTATCCTTTATCAATGTTTGGTGAAACTGGAATGCGTAAAACACAGAAATTAGCTATTTACAATTACTTTGAATCAGTGAAAACTGAAATTGACAATGCAAATGCTAGTTTCATCATCGATGGAGGGTATTTATTACACCGCGTTGTGTGGGATCGAGAAGCAACCTTTAACGTTTCTTTTGATAAATACATTCAGTACTTACATAGACATTTCAGTCATCGAGTGTCTAAAGTAGTATTTGATGATTATACTGATTATAAGAAAAATGTTAAAGCTGAAGAATCACAAAAATATCTTCTTTACCTGATGTCATTTTTGATCAATTTATGACAGTTCTATCAAACCAACAACAATTCCTTTCCAATAATCATGGATTTACAGCTGCAAATATTATAGTGAAGCAAGCAGATAATGACGCTGATATCCTTATAATTGAAACAGCCATAGAACAATCCAATGCAACAAATACTTCTATTGTTTTCGGTGAAGATGTTGACTTTTTAGTTTTACTGACTGCATTGATAAGATTATTTACTTTTTAAACCCCGGGAAAGCTCATCAACCAACAGAAATATATTCATCAAAAAGTTTATCTGCTTATCCAAAATGTCAAAATCATATCTTATTTTTACATGTAATTACTGGCTGCGATATTACATCAGAAAGGGTAAAACAACTGCATTTAAATTATTTGAAAAACGTCATTTAACTAATTGCACCGAAGTGTTTCAAAAGATAGACTCTTCACCACAAGACATTGTTACAAACGGGATTTGTTTTCTTCTTGCTTTATATGGAGCTTCAAATAAAATTGATTGTTTAGACAAGTATAGATACCTAACTTTTGTAAAAAACACTCGGCATAATAAAACAGTGCAGTTATCTTGTCTTCCTCTAACATCTGCTTCTTCTAGCCAACACTTGCATCGAGTATATTATCAAGTTCAAGTATGGCTAGGCAATCAACTGGACCCATCAGACTGGGGTTGGAAATTAGTAAATAATACATTAGACCCAATTGACACTTAACTCCCACCAGCTCCGGAAAGACTTTTCAACACAATCTTCAGTTTGTGAAGATTGTGTTGAAAAGTTTTTAATTCCCGCTTTATTTTTTTTTACTAATTGTAGTAAAAAAAAATAAAGCGGGAATTAAAAATGCATGAAGGCAATCAGTTTCCCACATAGCACTTTGAAAAAAAAAAGTTGCATACAGAATTTAAATCCAGTCCAAGCGTCGTTAAAGTCAATTGAATCTATAAAATTTATGACTTCCGTTCAAATGGAATATGAGTTGGTAACTCATATCAAACTGAATTTAAAAGTTATTTGTCAATCTTCAGCAATTGCAAAAAGGGTTGTAGTGCAAAATTTAGCTGTAAAAAAATCGAGTTATTTTTTTCATCGGTGTGTACTAATTGCCGAGGCCAGTCTCGCTCCAGTGTTGTCAAATCAAAATCAATAAACCATGATTTTGATGATATCAATGAGGAGACAATTGATGTACCTTTTTTTACATATCCAGCTTGAAAAAGAAGATGACTACGAAGAAGAAGAAAGTGAAGAAGATACTAATATACAATATATCACACTAATACGAGTATATAATACATAATATGAATTTAATAATAAATAATATATACAAATATAATTGATATATTAGTTTCGTAATTTCACAAGAATTGCAATGACTTTTCTAACTTTATATTATATATAAAATTGCAATATACTTAATATATTTTCGCAATATCTTCTCGCAATATATTTTCGCAAGAATTGCAATATCTCAGGAATAATGATTCTTATGAAAATGTATAAAGGCAAGTTTAGCAAACACTTTCATGATCTAATACTTTTGTTTGATCTATTTTTATAATAAAACGTTTCAATTTTTTTTTTTAAAAAAAACCTTTTTTTTAATACCTTTAACCTTGAATAACTTTTTTGGCAGATATAGGATCGATGGGAACTTTTAACACTTTATTTGTAATAATGTCCTAAAGGTATGTACCAATTTTCAGCTCTATGCGAATTATTATAAATTGAAACGTTTATTTTGACCGGATTATAAATGCTTAAATAATTGCACTATATTTAATATTTAAATTATAACTTATTAAACTAAGTTAGTTAGGTTATAATAAAAAAAACTTAAATTTGATTTCGAATTCATTTTTATCTCTCAGATTTTATAACTGTTTTACTAATAATTTGACGCGTGTCACGTGTCATCGAATAAAAATGTACATAAAAAATATAAAATGTACATAAAAAAATAAAAAATAAAATTAATCACGTGCTGTAATCAAATAAAATTGGAATACAACGAGACAATCGAATTTTTTTATAGATCTAGAATCGAGTATTAAAATTCCTTGTTTTTCTTTTCTCGACGAAAAACATTTTCATCGAGAAAAGAAAAATAAGATATGTAAAATTATCATCAATTATAATTAAGATGAAATATTTAATTTTTTTTTAGTATGGTTTTGCGAGGCTCCTTCAAGCGCGAGTTCGTCGGCAGTCGTTGACGTTGCCGATAACGCCGACGCCTAACGCCGCTACTGATAGAGTTTGATGTAGTTTATGTATTTTTTTAATGCTTCCAATTTCAATTCATCAGATATAATACAAAATGAAATAATTTCATTAATTTTTTTTGGCTTTGTACCACATATAAAGTTAAAAATGAAAAATTAAAACATATAGTACATATAAATACATTTGCCTCGGCCACTAGTAAAAATGGAGTAAATAATAGAGTTTAAATATTTACCAAAAAAACTAAACCGCACCAAAACAACGCCAAAAAAAGTTCAATTATTCCCATAAAAAATTTATATGCAGTTAAAAAAAAAATCACACAATCAAATAAAAAAATGCGCAAAAAAATAGTTTTGAATTAATAAATATTAAAAATTAGAAAATGAAAGCAAAAAAAAAGTTGAATGTGGTTTAAAATATTTGAGGTAAAAACTCAGAATTATTTATAACAGACAATAAATTATTTATGCTCACAAATAAATAATGAGGTAAGCATATATAATATAAAATGTTAAAAACAAATTACTCGTCAGAATTTCAGTAAGGTCTCATTTTATAGGAAGTTTTAAACATTGGTTTTGAACAACTTTTTGATAGTAAGTCAAACTTAAACTTGTTTATAGAAATAATTATAGCAAAAAAAGTTTTCTTTTACTTTATTAAACATGTTTTTTCTTTACTAAACATACTTAATACTAAATAAAGTATTTTTTAATCGTAAAAAAAAAATCTAACCTAGCTTTGGTCTTTTTTAATCTATTTTTTTTGCTTCGTGATTTTATTAGTACTTTTAGTTAGCTGAATAAAAAAAAGCGTTTTTAGCCACATAGCTACCATTTTAAAACTGGGTACTGCTCGTATGTTTAATATCTATAAATTAATCATATTTTAGATGAATTTTTTTTTTTTTTAATTTATATAATATTCGTTTTTAAGTTTTTTATTGTTGTTTAGTTGAGACAAGCCCTTAGGGTTTATCTCAAGTAACCACTATTGAAAAATTGAAAAAATGAAACCTAATTTTTATTAGGAATATATCAGTATTAGTATATAGGCATTACATAACCCTCTGTTTATTACTTATAATAAAAATTAACCCTCTGACTAAAACTCTACGATGCCAAATTATGCAATGAGGTTCTATCTCTCCTATAACAGAATTTCTTTGCTTCTTAAAGTATTATCAACTTATTGTCTTTATCTTTTGCTTCAAACCATTTCTATAAAGACTACTTGTATGTCTTTAGCCCGAATTCTAT